AAGTTCCATGAGGCCTTCTTTCCCCCTCTAATAGCACTTTTTTTTTTTCTAATAGCATTTTTATGGAGTTGAATCCACGTATTTTGAGTAGATTAGTGGGGATGGGGAAGAGGGTACTTATGATGTTAGATGGAAACCACAGAACCTCTATCTCACCTGCTTGGATGGGGACTCTAGCCCACGGACATGTTATTTAAAGCTGTGGAATAAAAAGGGCAAATGGGAGCAAGGGTGTTGTACTTAAACCAAGCCCTGTTGAGATTTGTGTTGTGTTTAATGTACTGCCTTGCCCTTTGTATGCTGCGGATCAAGATGTGACTGAGGGAAATTCATATTCTCCCAATAAGTCACTGCACTGGTTTGACTTTATAAACTGGTTACTTAATAAAACAGTTGTAAAAATAAACAAAAAATATACCAGCAGCAGTATGTAGAATAGATTGAAAGAGAATGGAAGGAACATTTTGTTTCTCATTTTCTGGCAGCAATCTTCCTGGGTTCTTTTCGTATGCCCTATCAGGAGATCAAAACTGTCATCTTGGAGGTGAATGAGGCTGTTCTAACAGAATCTATGGTGCAGGTGAGTAAGACAAGATAGTTTAACTGTATTGGTCTCGTCTGGTGAATTTATTTTAATTTTGAATAATTTTATTTTCGTGCCTATTGATCAGTAGTAGCATTGAAATATGTGAACAAGAGGGGCAGCTAGGTGGCGCAGTGGATAGAGCTCCAGCCTTGGAGTCAGGAGGACCTGGGTTCAAATCTAATCTCAGACACTTGAAACTTACTAGCTGTGTGACCCTGGGCAAGTCACTTAACCCCAATTGCCTCACCAAAAAAAAAGAAAGAAAGAAAGAAAGAAATATGTGAACAGGAGCAAAAAAGAAAATACAAAAGCAAAACAGTACAAAAATGATTGTACATGTAACTATGTACTACTCTGATTGTTAAAAGAGAATATTTTTTATCAACTTAAAATTCCAGTGTGGTCAACATTAATTTTTTTGTTGTTTAATGTTGTTTTTCTTTATGTAGATGAAGGCACTGGGTATATATACTGTTGTTTTGTTTCTGCTTTCTTTACTATGCATTGGTTCAGATAAGTCTTCCTATATTTTCTTTGCATCCTTTATATTTGTTATCTGCCATAGAGTAATAATACTGAATTATATTAAAAAAATGATTGAGGAATTCAGAGAATTCTGAGACTCGGTGTATAAACTGATACAAAGAGAAATAAACAGAACCAAGAGAAAAACATTCAGTTATTGCACTAATATAAATTTAAAATCCCTAATAGGAAGTCAAACTATGAAAAACTTTTAAGAATCAGTGAAACTTACAGATAATGAAACATAACTCCTTATGACAGCTAGGAAAGAATTTTCATATATCGTCAGGTATGGTCACTGTCGTGTTTTTGCTTAATTGTTTTTCTTTGTTGGAAGGAAGGTAGAGAGGAAATAAGCATTTGTTAAACACCCACAGTGTGCCAGACATTGTGCCAAAACTCTTTACAAATATCTCATTTGATCCAAACAACAACTCTGTAAGGTAGGTGCTGTTATTATCCCCATTTTACAGTTGAGGAAACTGAGGCAGGCAGCGGTCATGTAATTTGCCCGGGGTTACACAGGTAGTAAGTGCCTAGTGCAGATTTGAATTCAGTTCTTCCTTACTCCAGGCAGAGTGCTCTTTATCAGTGAGTAAGTATTTAGGAAGCACCTAGTTCCAGGCCATTATGCTGGGGATACAAATGCAAATAAAAACATAGACAGTCCTTGCCCTCAAGGAGGTTATAATCTAATGGGGGAACACAACCCACAAAAAGAAGCTGAAAAGTGGGACCGGAGAGGAATGGTACCTACCACGGCGTGATAGAGAGTTCTAGAGAAGTCTAAAAGCAGTGGAGCTGGTAGAAAATGGGACTAATGATAGCTAACACACATGTATGTATGCATACACAAGTGTATATGCATGCATATGTATATCTGTCCAACTATGGGCCAGGCACTATGCTAAGCACTTTCCAATAATTGTCATTTGATCCTCACAACAACCTTGGGAGATGGCTGCTGACATTTTACAGATGAGGAAACTGAGGCAGACTAAGTGACTTGCCCAGAGTCATATAGCTAGTTAAAGTATGGAGGCCAAATTTGAGTTCAGGTCTTCTGACTCCAGGTTCAGTGCTCTCTCCACTATGCCTAGGGTTCAATTTGGGGTTGGGGATGAGATTGAAATGACTGATGTAAAAATGAAAGACAATTAAATGTGTTTTGAAAATTTTGTTACAGTGTACATTCGTATACCAAAGTTTATTCAAACATTCCCCACATATTGTAGATTCAAAGTTTGTTTTCAGTTTTTTGCTGTTACAAATGATACTTGTAGGAATATTTCTGTGTAGCCAGGTCTTTTTTTCCCCTTTCTGCAGTGATCTTAGTATCAGCATCAATAGGACAAAAGATAACATCTTTTATCATAAAGTTTAATGCAAGACTTTTCCCAGTCTATATATTTCCTGCTTCTTCTAGATGCAGCGTTTTGAGTTGTGCAGAATCTTTTTTTTTAAAGAGTCAAATTTGTCTCTTTTTGTACCTTATAATTTCCTTTTGAGTCATGACTGATTATTTTTTTTTTTGCTGTACACAGTTGCACAATGTATGGTTATAGGTGCTTTAATTTTTTATAGTATGACATTTTGTAATTAAATTATTTATCCACTTGGAATTTCTTATGGTATAAGGTACTAATTTGTTGCCATTTTCCCACAAATTGCAATTAATTTTTCCAAGCAGTTTTTGTTGAATAATGAATTCATTCCCCAGTGATTTGTGTTCTTGGACTTATTGAATACTAGACAGTTGTATGCATTTGGTTCTGAATCTTGTTTTTCTGATCTTTTTCAGGGATCTGTTTTTTTCTGTTTATACCCAGTATGAGATTGTTTTGATAATTATTGTTTCATAGTATAAGTGGAAATTTGGTGGTGCTAATTCACTTTCTATTTTGTTTTATTATTTTCCTTGATATCCTTTATCTTGGGTTCTTCCATTTAAGTTTTCTTATTTAATTGATATTTTAGTTGGTATTAAATCTACAAATAAATTTGAGTGTTTCTCCCCCTCTCTTCTATATTAACATAGAAGAAGCAGAATCTTTCAGTAGAGAGAACTGGCCTTGGAGCCAGGAAGACCTGGATTCAAGTCCTGCCTCTGGTACATACTAACTGTTATTGTGAGCAAGTCATTTAACCTCTCAGGGCCCTAACCAACCCTATAAAACTTTAAGTTGCAGAGAAGGTGTGCAACTGCTTTTGTAGAGGGCATTCCTCTCCTGGAGCCCTCTCCACTCTGGTGAAATCACAGTTCCAGTACTTCACATTAAGTACCTTTCCAGTTGTTTAGTTCTTTTTTTTTTTTTTAATAAGCAAAAAGTACTTCATATGGCTAGATAAATTAATTCTCAAATATTTAGTACATTTTAAATGATCTTTATTTTATAACTTTTCTTGGTTAGTAGTTTTATTTAGGAATATTAATAATTTTGTGTGGTTATTTTTTTATCCTGCCATCTTGGTGAAGCTGTTTTTTTTTTGTTGTCTCTTGAATTTTTTAAGTAAGTCATCCTATCATACCCCCTTTTTAAATTCTAATTTCCTTTTTTATTTTATTACTATTGATAACAGTCCTAAAACTTGTAAAAAAAAAAAAATAATGCAAGTGGGGACATCCTGTTTTCATTCTACTTCATTATAAATAATGTTAGCTCTTGGTTTCTGGTAAGTTTTTTGTTATTTCCCTGCCTATTTTTTTTTTTTTTATCATAAGTGAGTATTGAATTTTATTGAAGGCTTTTTGTGCATCTATTGTCTTTTCCTGGTTTTGTTTTTATTTTTATTTTTCCTGGTTTGTTTTTATTATTGACATTTTGTTATGCCAATTATTTTTTAATGTTGAACTATCTGCATCCTTAGTATAAATCCAACTTGATAATAGTTTTTTTTTAAAGGGTATTACTATTTTAGAGTATTTCTTATGAACTCTCTCATTAGGCAGGCAGTCTGCCCTCTAGTTAATTGAACATTGAATAGGATCTGTAGGACAGTTTAAGAGAGAGGCTCAGCCAAAATGAAGCAGACTAAACATCCCTCCTCCCCCGGCTTTTCCCTCCCTTCTCTCCCTCTCTTTCCCCCCTTCCCCATTTCTCTCTACCCCCTTTCCCTACCTTCTCTCCCTCTCTCTTTCCTTCTCTCTTTTTTTCTTTCTTTCAGAATCTCATTAAGCAGATGCCAGAGCCAGAGCAGCTAAAGATGCTGTCAGAACTAAAGAATGAATATGATGATCTGGCTGAGTCAGAACAGTTTGGTGTAGTGGTGAGTGAGGCCTAAAGCAATGGGCTCTTTATCCCATGGGGAGAAGCTTTCTGTCTATAGATATCTGTCCACCTACACACACACACACACACACACACACACACACACACACACACACACACACACACACACACACACACACACACTCATCCATTGAGAGTGACCATTTCATTCTCTCCCTCCTCTTAGCTTTGCTGTGTCTCAAACCTGGACTTAGTACTTTTTTCCTTACTCTTCTTTGGGATTCTTTTCATGATCAATGGATTTGAAGCCTGTCTCCCTTATCCCCACCTCCTCTCTGCTATATTTCTTTGCCTGGCTTTTTTCACTAGCCCCCTTTGTCCTTTCCACCAGATGGGCACCGTGCCCCGCCTTCGACCCCGACTCAATGCCATTCTCTTCAAGCTGCAGTTCAACGAGCAGGTAGAAAATATCAAGCCAGAGATTGTTTCTGTAACAGCTGCTTGTGAAGAGGTACGAAAGAGTGAGAGCTTTTCTGGCCTCTTGGAAATAACCCTGCTCGTGGGCAACTACATGAATGCTGGCTCTAGGAATGCTGGTGCCTTTGGCTTCAACATTAGCTTCCTCTGCAAGGTGAGAATGGGAGTCAGAACAGAGAGACCAGGACAGGTGTCTAGCCCTTTGGGCCAAATAGTAGGAGCTACAATCTGCTGAGAGTGGTTTTGGTCTCAGATCCATTCCCCTGCTCATAGATATTCTTCTTCTCAGCTTCGTGACACCAAGTCCACTGATCAGAAGATGACACTACTGCATTTCTTGGCTGAAATGTGTGAGAACAGCTACCCTGAGGTCCTCAAGTTCCCTGATGAGTTAACCCATGTAGAGAAGGCTAGCAGAGGTGAGGACAGTCTGGGGAGAGACTATAAGGTGGCACAGGGGGCTGGCAAGTATCTGCTTGGAGAGGGAAGTAGATATTACTTGGTTGTAGAATGCATTAAGTCCCAAGCTAATGAATATATTTGGGTCTAGGGGTGATGTTGAGGGGACATGAGTCCATAGGGAAAATATAAAGTGGAGTGGAGCTTATGTATATAAAATTGAGGAGAATATTTAGCAGCACAGTGAAAAGAAAGTCATGTGGGGGGAAAACACTTGTTTTTAGTCTAAGACCTCAACTCTCTTGGTTTTCCCATTCAGAAAACATAGACTTTCTTGGCAGAAATTAAGACATCACTATCTGGGAAGAAGGCAGAGAGAATATAGCCTTTTGCTGAAGAAAAAGCTATTCTACCACTCATTTTCTCTGAGAGTGGAAGTAATCCAATATATTATAGGTAGCACTTATCCTAGCTATATGTCTCTATGCAAGTCTCCCTGCTCCTAAATCCCATTCCACTAACAGGCATAGGGCCGAGACCGCAGGGCCCAAGGGGCAGGAGCTCAGTTCATTCAGTTAAACATGTATTTATGGACCATTTCTGATTTCTCTAGCACTGTAGGTATTGAGATTTGCCACATAAATTCATGACAGAATTCTGGTGATCAAGATAGAAGCTTAGAGTCTTAATGGAGAGATAAGACTTGTACACAGTAGAGAGCAATTGAAAGGTATGTCAGGTCAGATATTAAGAAGTGCTCAGTTAAATGTAATCGAGTACCTGAAGCAGTTAGGAAGGGGAAACCCACTGACTTGAAGAGCTGCTGTCCTAGGCTAAGATCCTTTCAGGGCTGTAAGTTCATTTTTCATTGAAGCTATAAGTTCATTGTTAACCCATCCATCTCATGCAGTCTCTGCTGAGAATTTACAGAAGAACCTGGATCTAATGAAGAAGCAGATTTCAGATGTAGAACGAGATGTTCAGAACTTCCCAGCTGCCACTGATGAAAAAGACAAGTTTGTGGAGAAAATGAGCATATCCTTTCAAGGAGTGTGAAGAGGGGGAAACCGCAAAGGGGAATAAATGGGAGAAATCTATGGGGCTCAGGAGTAGGAGTATGGAACACACTTTAGTGAGATGGCTTTAGAGTCTACTACTTCATGCACTGTACTCTGGGAGCGTGTAATTGAAGAGTCTAAAGAAGCAAGACTATTAGTTTCTTGGTCCGGGTCCTTAACTCCTTGCCCTCACAGCTTTGTAAAGGATGCCCAGGAACAATATAACAAGCTGCGGATGATGCATTCTAACATGGAAACCCTCTTTAAGGAACTAGGAGATTACTTCCTCTTCGATCCCAAGAAAGTGACTGTGGAAGAATTCTTCATGGACTTAAACAATTTCAGGAATATGTTTCTGGTAAGCAAGCAATCTTTGCCTCCAAACCAAGAAGACCTGGGGGGGGGGGGGGGGGTTTCCTCCCAGAGATTAGCTCAGTTTGCTTGATTGTTATGTTTTTTTATTCATAGCAAGCAGTCAAGGAGAACCAGAAGCGACGGGAGACAGAGGAAAAGATGCGTCGAGCAAAGTTAGCCAAAGAAAAGGCGGAGAAAGAACGATTAGAGAAGCAGCAGAAGAGAGAGCAGCTGATAGATATGAATGCAGGTATGAAGGGAGAACAAGGAATAGGGAGGGGGAGAAACAGGGAGGATGTTCAGGAGCTGCAGTTTGGGCAGAGAAAATGGCTGATTTCTGAGCTGGATTTTTAATAAGTGAGCTTTTGGCACAGTTCCTTAGATCAAGTTTGTGTTTGCTCTAATTTTCTCTGCTAGATTTTCAGTTTTTTCCTCTGTTTTTTATTTTTTTTCTTTATACCTTATCTTCTTAATTGTAAAGCCTCCTCCCATTCATATTCTCTTGTTACTAGGTGACCTTGGTGTTACTAACACACACCCCTCCTTTCTGCCTGTTCAGGAGCTCCTCTGGTCTCCTCTCACACTCTGCAGACCTCTGTTTACATTATCTCTAAGATGGCCTCCTAGGCCTCTGCCAAGTCCTTTGTGGCAGCAATACCACCCCTCCCCTAGTTCCTAACTCTTTCCCCCTTCTCCCCCCATCACTTCGGCTTGGGAACAGTTACGAAGTATGGATTTACAAACCATAACACAAACATACTCTTCCCAGGCAGCATCCGTCTTTTACTACCAGAGGCATTCCTTTGTTGAAACATATGGCTCAAGAACTTGCGCGCGCGCGCGCACACACACACACACACACACACACACACACACACACACACACACAC